GAGCCACAGCCGACGCGGTAGACCACTCGGCCACCTTGTCCCCCCAACAAACCTTTATAATATTATAAAGCAAGACTTGGCAATCGGCATATTCGTAAAGTGTGATTTTTCTTAGGTATTACATGTATACAAATTATGATATTATAATAATGTTGTACGAATAAATTATTCAAAGAATAATTGAATAATATTTGAATAATTTTTACGAAACAATAAATGCACTGATTCTGGTGGGCCACTGGGGCRAGTGTTTTAAAATTCTTTGTAATTTAATGATTCATCTCATATTAGCATATCAACATTTACAAAGCAGTATTGTAACTTATAAGCGGTGTTTCGTAAGTTTCGTTTATATAATTATTATGGCCGACATTTAACCTCTAAGCTCTAGTCACAGTTATTTACTTATAATTATTTAATAAAAAGGGATTTTCATTTGAAAAACAGAAGTTTGTATCACAACAAGAAACTCCTATTATGTAGTTAAAAAAAAGTCAAGGATTTTAAAATTTGGTCTATTTATAAATCCAAAATATCAAAACTTGAATAAATAAATAATTAAATTTAAAAAATGTGAGCTAGATTGTTGAATCACTCTGTACATATATTACGATATTTGTAGAGGCTAATACTATGCAATTCTTTCTGAACATATAACTATATTTAACCGAAAAAGTATTCACAGAAAAGTTAATGTATATTTTTTACTCCGCTCAGAATTTTTATATTTTATAATGGTATTTGGATACCTGTTTTAATTGTTTAAATAAAATGGGTATAATTCATACATTTTTAGTTACATTAAAATATCAACACGATATTYGTAATCAAAAAGTTTAACGAAATAGGTACCTATCAAAAAGTAGATTTATTTCATTATATGATATAAAATATTTCCCTCTCTAAAATATATAATTTTTTGGACACTTCCATTTCAATACATTGCCATTAGGTTAACAGTTTTATAGTATTTAAATTTTTTTTTCAATAATAAATTCTTTTTGTTAGTTCAGTATCCTCAGTTCAAWGTTTTGTATACTTTGGTTTTCAATTTTAAGTGTTAATAATTAATCTGGCTTAGGTGTTAGRTCGTATGCTATAATTATAACTATAAAATGCTTACTAAAGTAATGTTATTAAAAAGGTTGTTTGGTATATTTTCGAAACCTGTTACACGAATCATGTAGTTACGTGAAAATTACAATAAAGTAGTCATATTTTAGTAATTGCTTGCTAATCATTCCTACTCACTTTTTTAAACATTAACATTTCAGAACATTTCTACTGCCCACTAGTTTAATGTAACTTTATTTAAATGACCTGGTTAACTAAAATATTGAAGGTCTTTTAAATAAATTTCTGAGAATCCTTAAAAAACCAATAATAAATTAACTATAAAATTCAACAAATTTAATATTCAAACGCTTAATGTTTCATGGTAAGTATGCCAGGTTGGACTATTTACACCGTTTTGATTTACAAACAATCTTTAAAAAATTTTAAATATATTTTAGATTCGAATTGAATTGTGCAACTGTATTAGTTAAATTGAACTAAAGTTTTTATGAATTTCTAGTGTTTATATATTCAAGAACAATGTTATATAATTTGTTATAGTAATATGTATTAGGTAGTATAATATTATCGCCATATAGTATATGATTGGAAATAATGCMATTATATAGTATATAATTTTAATTTAATTTAAGTTCAATTTTTATCGAATACTTGGTAATTGGGTCATACTCAATGGTTTATTTCAATACCAGCTAACGAGACATGTGTCATGTCGTCATGCCTTGTTGGTAATTTGTAGAATTTTTACATCACTCAAAGACATTGTCTTGATAAATTCGAGATTTACCAGATTTTACACTGTGGTACAGTCGTTTAGGCTCAATTTCTAATTCATATGAAAATATTTCCAGTATTCTTAGAGCCAATAAAAAAAGAATAATAAAAGAATAAAACTACATCTTCATGACCCCAGGTGACGTCCACATTCCATGCTCCGCTCAGAATTTAAAATATTTCAAAAATGTTCTACCTTCCCACCCTCTTTTTCATATTCTATCACTCTCTCTCTCCCTCCCTCTCTCCGTATACATATAATATCTTTCTTGTCTCRAAAAATATTTTATTTCTTATATAAACATAATATAATGACCCTAATAAACAATTTGGGGTGAGTCTTCTGACTGAACACCATAACGTTCATCCAAACATTTTCTGACTACGCTTTAAGTACCTAGGT